ATTCTACACTGTAGATTTTAATGATGTGAGATTTAGTGAAGGTGAGGAGGGAAAAATGGACATGAAGGGGTAAGGACAGTAAAAAGTTATAGGATCAATGGATTTGCAACTTACATGTAGTGTTCTTTGGTTTGCAAAATACAGTAGTGTTCTTTGGTTTGTTTTGGGCACTTAGGGTATTTGGTGTGGTTGAAAAAGCATAGACTTTGGAGCCGCACAGATAAGAGTTCAGTTTTTCAGCTCAGTCACTTAAGAGACGCTTAGCCACACTTCATTTCTTCTTCTATAAAGCAGGGCCCTCATTCTCCCCTTGTATGCTTATATGAGGTGCCATTTAGAAGACACAGGTGAAGGGGTGCAGTGAGTGGCACTTACCACGGGGGTTTCTGAAACAAGGTCCCATGTCCTCACCCACCGGCACCGAAAGTATTAAAATGATTATTTAAATAATTTAATGACTTACATCATTATTCATATGAATAATTATTTGTTATTAAATGGTTAATTAACTATTTAAATCACCCTCTGAAGATACTGATTCAACAGAAGTTAGTTTAAAAAAATAAACAGAGCTGGGCATGGCAGCTCACACCTTTAATCCCAGCACTTGGGGAGGCTGAGGTAGGTGGATCCCTTGAGGTCAGGAGTTTAAAACCAGCCTGGTAGACATGGTGAATATCATAAGATATTGAACTTCATTCTCATGTCCAGGATAATGGATTTAACCTCACGATAATTTTCTTTTTCTTTTTTTTTTTTGAGATGGAGTCTTTGTCACCCAGGCTGGAGTGCACTGGTGTGATCTCAGCTCACTGAAACCTCCGCCTCCCAAGTTCAGGCGATTCTCCTGCCTCAGCCTCCTGAGTAGCTGGGATTACAGGTGTGCGCTACCACGCCCGGCTAATTTTTGTATTTTGAGTAGAGACGAAGTTTCACCTATGTTGGTCAGGCTGGTCTCATCTCCTGACCTCATGATCTGCCTGCCTCAGCCTCCCAAAATGCTGGGATTACAGGCTTGAACCACCGCGCCCGGCCTAAAGTTTGTCTTAAATAAAGGGGATAAAGTGCTCTCACAGTGAGGAGCTGTCTGCTGTGGAGGCATTTGTGGTTCCAATACTGCTGGTAGGCAGGTGTATATTAGATCAGCACCTGGGAGTGCCCACCCATAGTGGAGGGTAGGGCAGGTGGCCTGGTTAGCGGGGCAGAGGGCTGGTGTGGCAGGGTGGGGCTCAGATACTGGACACTAATTGGTGGGAGAGGGAGAGCTGCTTGTCATCCGATGTGTTTGGGATATGTTAGTTTCTGCCATTCTGTTTCCTCTTCTTTCTCTTTTATTCCTGTTTTTCTTGAGGGCCAAGCATAGTGTCCCTCCTAAAGCATGGCTCGCCTACCTGGAAAGTGCTTGACAGTAAATCTTCACGAAAGATTAAAGCACATGAAGGCACATGGTAAGAATGCTGGTGATCCCGCAAGCCTCATTCTAGAGGAAGGAGAGGCAGTCACCTCCCCACCCTGCTGGGATTGACTGCCTGAAGCCCAGTGGGCTGGCATCCGTCTGCTGCGTGTACTGACATCCGGCACAGCAGTTACTGCCCTGTTCTGCCATGCTTGCTTCGGTCCCTTTCAGTTCTAGCAGATGTAGTCCCCTGAGGGTGGGGATTGCTCTGGATTTAATACTGTGTCCCTGGAACTTAGCGAAGCCCCTGTCACTCAGTTGAAGTGAGTTTCAGATCTGCAGAGAGACAGAAGGACTCTTTAAATCTGCACCAGGTTAATGAAATGTCCTTATTTTTAATAATGTTTACCTTTAAAAATATTGTGTTCCAGGGCCTCTCTGTTTCAAGACAACTGCAATGGTTCCCAGTGACTAGCGACAGTGCAGCAGCATGAAGTTACTTCACCTGGGCAGACGTGCCAGTGCCCCAGTCACAGTCCTTGGCTAAGCCGAGAGTTCACCTAGAACTTTGGTGGGCAGTTTGCCTACACCCCTGCAATAGGTATCCTCTACATTAGCTCCTGGGGGTCTCCTGCTATTCCATCTCTAGTGTAACTCCTTCCCCTTGACTGTGGGATGAACTTAGCACTCATTTCTAATAAATAGAACACAATGAAAGTGATGGACGTCACTTTTGAGGTTGGGTTACACACAGAAGACTGTCTTTGGTCATGCTTGTCCTCTCTTGCCCTCTGCTTGCTTACTCTGAGGAAGCCAGCTGCCACGTGTGAGCTGTCCCATGGAAGGCCCTTGTGGCAAGGAACTGAGGGTGGCTTTTGACCAACAGCCAGCAGAGAACTGAGTTCCTCAGCCCATCAGCCTGTGAGGAGCTGAATCCTGCCCACAAACCCCTGAGTGAGCCTGGAAATGGATCCTCCCCCAGTTGAACCTTGAGATGCTCGCAGTCCCAGACAAAACCTTGCTGGCAGCCCCTGAGAGAAGCTGAGCAGAATCACCCAGGAAAGCTGTGCCTGGGTTCCTGACCCCCAGAAACCGATATCATAGTGTGTGTTGCTTGAAGCCACTAAATTTTGGGGTAACTTTTTATGCAGCCATAGAAAACTAATGCAGCTCAGCTGTCTGCTTAACTTCAACTACTGCTTCTTTCTGACCAAGGGCCTTCTCTGTCCACTAGAGCATCCCTGGTTGCAGAAGCGACAGCCTAGACAGGCCTGGAGTTACTGTCCCAGGAGCAACCCTCAACCAGCGAGGAATGGGAGTTGGTAGATAAATATTCCCCCTTGCTAAGGCTTAGAGGCACAGTTCTAAGACGTGTTCGTGTTTGGCACAACCCGTTGGAGGGCCCAGTGGAACTGAGCCACGGTTGCCCACATAGGTCACCATTTGTTAAAGCACATGTCAGTGGCTTCCTTCCCTTCCCCAACTTCTTACCATGCTTCCCGAGGTCACTTCCCAAATAAACTACTAGCATCCAAATACTGTCTCAGGGTCCGAAGGAACCGAAACTCCAATGAAGCCTCTATATGGTATTTTCTAAAAGTTCCCTTAAGGATGTAAAATAGCTAACACAACCTCCAAAAGTTGTATTCAATTCCGTATGTAAGGCAACAGCAAGTACCTCCTCTAGACAAGGGTGAATAGGGTGAGCCTGAGCAACTTTTGCAGTACTTTTTCTCTTTTTCCTCATTTATAAATCTCAATGTCTGCTCCATGATGCTAAGAGTCCTAGGGCTTGTGACAATGACAACCACAAACAACACATGTTTTAGAGTTGAGAATTTAGATATTCCCAAACAATCAAATAGTGAAGCTGTGTGATGGGTCTCAGAGGATCCTGTGGATGCTGGTGCCATAGAGATAACGGCTGATGGTCTCTGCTCCTCACCAAGTCCTCTGTCGCTACTCCACTGCCCCACTCAGCACTGCTGTGCCTGTGGAAATTACAGAACTTTTTATGCCTCTAATAATCCTTTGGCTCCTTTCTTGAGGATTAGTTGAAAATGAGAACAGGCGTGGTGGCTCATGCCTGTAATCCCAGCACTTCGGGAGGCTGAGGCAGACGGATCACTTGAGTCCAGGAATTTGAGACCAGTCTGGGCAACATGATGAAAGTCCCTCTCTACCATAACTATAAAAATTAGCCAGATGTGGTGGGGTACACCTGTGGTTCCAGCTACTCGGGAGGCTGAGGTGGTAGGATTGCTTGAACCCAGGAGGTAGAGGTTGCAGTGAGCTGAGATAGCACCACCGCACTCCAGTCTGGGGTAAAACCCTGTCTCAAAAAAAAAAAAAAAAGAAAGAAAGAAAATGACCACATTGCCAGGATACTCTAATGTAAGCATAGGTTGAAAATACTTTCTAGAATGAGCTGATGAGAATGGTGAGGGGGAGCTCTTGAAATCCACTGCCCCTTTGGAAATAGGCACTGGGTGTAACACTAGCCCAGCCCAGCAGTTCTCAAGTGGGGATGATTTTGCTCCCTCTTCCTCTAGGGGACATTTGCAATATCTGCAGACATTTTTGAATGTCACAGTAAGGGAGGAGACCACCCCTCACCTTGTCTTATGCCCAATTTCTGCCTCCAAAGGAAGAAGAAGTAAAAACTAAAAGGCAGAAATGAAATCCACAGGCAGACACCCTGGTGCTGTGCCCTGGGCCTGGTAGTTAAAGATCAACCCCTGACCTAATCGGTTATGTTATCTATAGATTTCAGACATTTAATGGAAAAGCACTGTGAAAATCCGTGTCCTGTTCTGTTTCATTCTGATTACTGGTGCACGCGGCCCCCAGTCACATACCTCTTCTTGCTCAATCGATCATGACCCTCGACCCTCTCACGCAGACCCGCTTAGAGTTGTGAACCCTTAAAAGGGACAGGAATTGCTCACTCGGGGAGCTTGGCTCTTGAGACAGGAGTCTTGCAAAGCTCCCGGTTGAATAAACTCCTTCCTTCTTTAACTTGGTGTCTGAGGAGTTTTGTCTGTGGCTCATCCTGCTCCAACAGTTGTTGCAGGGGTAAGGGGCGTTTTACTGGCATCTAGTGGGCTGAGTCCAGGGATGCTGCTCAACATCCTACAATGCACAGGACAGACCCCACAACAAAGAATCATCCAACCTCAAATGTCCATAGTGCTGAAACTGAGAAAACTGCACTACAGCCAACTCTTTAAAAATAAAACTGTGGGTCTGGGCATGGTGGCTCATGCCTGTAATCCAAACACTTCAGGAGACTGAGGCGGGTAGATCACTTGAGGTCAGGAATTCGAGACCAGCCTGGCCAATATGGCAAAACCCCATCTCTACTAAAATAACAAAAATGAGCTAGGCATGGTGGTGGCACCTGTAATCCCAGCTACCCAGGAGGCTGAGGCATAAGAATTGCTTGAACTGGGGAGGCAGAGGTTGCAGTGAGCTGATATCATACCATGGCACTGGGTGACAAAGTGAGACTCGGTCTCAAAAAAATAAAAATAAATACATAAATACATAAATAAAACTGTGAGGAGATGGGTTTATACATAATGCTATTGACAAGTGAAATCAATTTAGAATGTAAAGAACAAAGTTTTTATTTAAAAGGAAAGGCAGGCAGCAGTTTTCTTTGAGGGAGGTCGTGAAGCCCAACGGTTAATGGCTTGGCTTTAAAGTAAAAGTTGAGGTGCTGCTGGACTCCAGAGTCTGTATTTACTGCTCTGTGACCTTGGCGAAAGATGTGAACTTCTTTAGATATGTTTCCCCATTTGTAACATAGGTTTAGTAATGGTGCCTGCCGCACTGAACTGTGAGAATTAAATGAGCAGAGCATAGAAGTGTGAAAGGATAAGATCTTGTGCCCCTTCAAGCTGGGAACTGCTCCCATTCTATTCAAAGTCACCCCTCTGCTCGCTGACATAGATGCATATCTGATTGCCTCTGTTGGAAAGGCTAATCAGAAACTCAAAAGAATGCAACCATTAGTCTCTCACCTACGTGTGACCTGGAGGCCCCCTCCGCTTCGCTTGAAGTCTTCCTGCCTTTGCTTCGAGTTGTCCCGCCTTCCCAGACTGAACCAATGTACTTCTTACGTGTATGGATTGATGTCTCGTGTCTCCCTAAAATGTAGAAAACTAACCTACGCCCTGACCAAGAATAGTTCTGGCCAGTGGGCCCTGGAAATGAGACCTGGGAATGTGAAGTCTCCATGTTAGCAGGACTTCCTGAGGCTGTGCCACAGGCGTGGGTCCTCAAACTTGGCAAAATAAACTTTCTAAATTAACTGAGACCCATCTCAAATGTTCGGGATTCACAGAAGGCTCTCAGTGCAAAGCGTCGCATCCAATAAGCCCTTAATAAACGGAGGCAAGGTAAGAACAAAAGCAAGGAAGAACAGGGGCCTGGAATCCAAGGACTGCAGGTAACAGCAGGGCAGCGAGAAAACGGACTGTTCCACCCTCAAACATATTAGTATGAGGACAGAATCCTCTCCGAAATCCTGCTTGTGAAATCATCACACAATCTGCCTTACCACCCAGAATGTCTCTGTCTAAATTCCTGCTGGTTTTGATTTTCATTCTTCAATGTTTATTTCTTGAACGTAAATAAGCAATCCACGGCCGGGGCCTGTGGGGGCCTTCACACAAACGAAAGCATTCTCACGGCCGGCTTGCCGCCTGTCCCCACGCTCCTTAAGCGACGCTCCGGGTTACTGCGGGAAGACAGCCTGCACAAACAGAGCGGCCCAAGACAAATAAATGCTGGCCCTATTTGGTCTCCTATTCAAGGCGTGAGGCCTCAGAAGAAGAATGAGTCTTCACAGGCTGGGAGGTCTCCTGGATGCATCTGCTGGTAGCTGGCTCCTGAGAGTGAGAGAGAGAGAGAGAGAGAGAGAGATAGTGAGAGGTGCAGAGAGAAAGAGAGGGAAAGAAGGAGGGGGAGGAGAAGAAAGAGAAGGAGGAGGAGGGGGCGGGAGAAGGCGGGGAGGAGGGGAAAGGGAGGGAAGGATGGAAGGAGAATGTACAAGCAAGGAGTCACAGTCTTTCATAACCCACTCTTGGAAGTGACATCCTATCTACTCCAGTGTAGCCAGTAGAAGGAAGTCACCAGGTCCAGCCCGCCCGTCAAGGGGAGGGAATTCTATCAGGGCATGAACAGCAGAACCCACTTCAGAAGCAGTCTACCACAAGGACCTGCATCTGCTTCGTGCACACACACTGTCGGTCCTCATGGAGTGGACCTACTGATGGACTGGACCTCCACCTAGGGTGGAGTAAACAGGCATCTTGAGGGCAGGGACTTGTATCACCGTGTGCCTAGGAGCTTGTGGAGTAATCTACATTTTCAAAGGATTTAAACTGGAGAAAAAGAATAATTCTGGCCAGCGGGCCCTGGAAATGAGACCTGGGAATGTGAAGTCTCCACAGTTTCTGCACTTGGCCCATACTGTATTCAGTTCCTATTGCTGCTGTAACAAATTAACACAAATTTAATGGCTTAAAACAGCACAATGTTATTCTCTTCCAGTTCCGGAGTCCAGAAATTCTAAGTCACTTTCAGTTGGCTAAAGTTATTGGAAAGGCTGGTTCCTTCTGAAGTTCTAGAGAAAAATCCATTTCCTTGCCTTTTCCAGCTTCTGGGAGGCCACATCCTCCATCTTCCAAGCACATCACTCCAACCTCTACATCTACTGTCACATCACCTTATGACTCTGATGCCTCCTTCATCTTTCTTATACAGACCCCTGTGTTTACATTGGGTCAACTTGGATAATCCAGTATAATTTCCCATCTCAAGATCCTTCATTTAGGCTGGGTGCAGTGCCTCACACCTGTAATCTCAGCACTTTGAGAGGCCAACGCAGGCAGATCACCTGAGGTCAGGAGTTCGAGACCAGCCTGGCCAACATGGCGAAACCCCATCTCTACTAAAAATACAAAAATTAGCCAGGTGTGGTGGTGGCACCTGTAATCCCAGCTACTCAGGAGGCTGAGGCAGGAGAATCTCTTGAACCGGGGAGACGGAGGTTGCAATGAGCCGAGATTGTGCCACACTGCACTTTAGCCTGGGTGACAGAGCAAGACTCCATCTCAAAAAAAAAAAATCTTCATTTAGTAGCATCTGCAAAGTCTTTTGGCCATATAAGGTAACATCACAAGCTTTGGGGATCAGGATGTGGATATCTTTTGGAGGCTTTCAGCCCACCATGATTGTAAAAAAGTTCACAGCAATTTAATGGATCTTATTGTCACTCTCCAATGCTATGATTGTTACATTCTCCTCCAGGATCCCCTCCTTCCCAAACTGCAATGCCATGATTGCTAACATTCTCCTCCAAAAACCCCAAGCACAGTCAGATTGTGGGATTGGACTATTCACTACTTAATGAATCGTCTAATCCTACAATGAATAGTCCAATCCTACAATATGACTATGCTGTTGCTCACCTGATTGCTCCCAGATCTGTCCTGCTTTTCCCCGCAAATTAATTTCCAATCCAAGGCTCTCTTGCCAACCAGCTCGCAGCTGTGTTTGGCCAGTGTGCTGGTGAGAGATTGGAGGGTAGTGGAAGAAGCCAGGGGACACCCTCTGCCCCAAGTCAGGCAGTGTCTCTTAGTGGCAGTGCTCTTCTTTAGGGTTCCAAACTCTTGCCAGACTCCCTCCATGGACCCAGATCTTACTGGGCAGCATCCACCCAAGATCCAGCTCCTCCAGGGGAGCCCCAGCTCTTAAGGCTCTGGCCCTATGGGTGGTAGCAGCTCCTTGTTGGTGATAAGCCCAGGTGGCTTCACCATCCCTTATTAACTTTTCAGCTTTCCCAACACCTTTGTAACTAATTCCTCTTATGAAATTATTTCAATTGGTCTTGAGCTGTATAGGCTCTGACTGAACCCCAACTAATATACTGGCTTTCAGGGGTTTTTATAACATTACACCAAACTATTTGTTTAACTTTATCTCCTAGATTCCTTTATTCTAGCTAACCCAAACTACATTATTATTATTATTATTATTTTTTTTTTTTTAAACATAGTTTTCTGCTTCAGGAAAGGTATGCTCAAGCCACTCCGTCCATGTGAAATGCCCCTCCTCCATTATTGGCTTTGCTTGTCAAAATATTTGGGTTTTTGGAGGATCACTTCAAAATCATCCTCTTGCTACAATGCCCTCTTGATTACCATGTCTGGAATTATTTCCTTTTGCAGACGCAGTGCTGTATAGTAATGAGCTGTTGGAATGTATGCAAAGCCTCATCACACAACTGCCTTGCATTGGAGAGATTTGTTTAGGTCATAAGCTCCCACAGTTTGAGTCTGTGCAGTGTACTCTATGGGTGCTCAATACATAGACCATTTAATCAAATAAATGTTGGGATTCCAATCATGGGCATGACTCTTACTATCATTCTCTGTTAGATAAAAGAAGGTAATCAATTTTCATTCTATCCTTACTAATTATATTTACTCGAGGCTAGAAAAACAAATCTAATGTTTTAAAATTACAAAACTGCTCTCCATCCTTTCCATTCTAGTTAATTGAAAGAGTATCAATTTCCCAACCAAAAAATTCATGCCTGTGTTTCACAGTACATACATAGCTTAAAAACTCAATCAAATGTAAGATATTTCTGTCATTATTGTCACTAGTGGAGGGGTTAGCATCAACTATTTTCTTTGTCCATCAGCAGTTACTCCAGTAAATTTGCAGGCTGACAAAGTCACGTGCTCATCACCTTGTGTGATAAGCTGCAGAGCTGACCAAACAAGCATGTGTTTGATGAATTTTTTCCATTTATGTGAGTGGGGGAAATGACTCCTAGCAAAGAAACCTGACCTCATCACAGACTAAGACTGTCTAGATTGACTAGGCTACCTAAGCCAGCCTGGGATAGTGCGGACAGGGAACATAATGACCTTGGTGAGTGTCTTACCTATCAAGTGTCCAAGAGCAGGTCAAGCATGGGGTCCATTCTTCTCTTCATGCTTGGCTGCTCAGGCTCAATTTTAGGTATCCCCCAGTGACAATGACCCACACGGATCAAGAGGCAAACAGACTCAGGCTTATCCCCCTTCCTCCCTAGCCAGCATCACTGGCCAGAGTCCCAAAGGCCTGGCCTATGCTGTCAACATGGCCTAACAGCAGGGTTACCAGCTGCAAGGGACTTCCTGGAGACATTTGAAAATCTGTGGTGCCGTTCCCAACAGCCTTAATCAAACAGAAGGCAGAAACTCTGACCTGAAAAAGAGGTGCAGCCTCTAAGAACAGGCTGTCTACAACCTTCCTGAAGACCAGCACTTTCAGAGGAGTGGCTGGTTGGTAGCCTGCCCAAACCTGCCCTCTTGAGAAATATGACTTCCCAAGATGCAGAGCGTTTGAATTGATAGGAGGACCTGCATTCATTAATGCTTTTGCTTGTGGGTCTGTTTTTGGGTAGCAGCCTCTCCAGGTCAGGAATTCATCTTTATGGTTGCTAGCGATTGTCTGGGGGCATGATATGGAGTGAGAAAGAGGGTCTGGGGACTGTAGCTTGCGCTTGACTTCTCTCTTTAAATGGCAGCGTCCGTGACCATTTCCTCTTCTCTCTTCATGTGGCCACAGGATGGCAATGTTTAGGAATGTTACTGTTACCTCCCAGGGGCTGTTTAGATCCTAGATTAGAGCTCAGCAATGCACATGAGCAACTGGAGATTTGTGTAGGGCCAAGAACTTTTAAATCGGGAACAAGAGGAGGAAAGGAAGGGTCATTTATTATGAGATTTTTTAGAAATCCAATTAAAAGTATTGCGAAGTGCATGCTGAAGGGTACTTGAGTAAATGCAGAACCTGGCTGAATCCTGCGTGAAGCCACACTGCTGGGGGTACCTACTGTCCCTGATGATGCATCTCATGCTGAATTCTGACCATTACAAGTGATTTTTCTCCCCCTGCTGGGAAGCACTTCCACAGTTATGTGACTAATTTGTCACATAATTAGTTTAGCACGCACCATGCTATAATACCTTAATCTGAATCAGTAGGTTTCCCTAGGTTGGAAGTTCCCTGGGACAAGGACCCATGCTTTCTTTATCTGTTTCCTCAGATATCCTGAAGATGGATTATAAACAACCTGAGCTCACTGAAGATGGATTATAAACAACCTGAGCTCACTGCATGTTAAATAAGTAACTCATGGGCTGAAATAGTATCAGAGTTTAGGGACAAAAATTCCTGTAGACTAATTTGTCAAAGAATGAGCCAGAAAGGTAATATTTGGCCTGAATTTTGAAGAGGACTCAAAGGAGAGGGGGCTGGTTAGGAGTGGCTCAGATAGCCCCCTCTCCACTCACCTCGCTCAGCCCGGAGCATGGGGAAGAGGACATTCTGAGTTTAGAGGAGCTGAGGCAAAGGGGTGTGGAAATCAGAAAGCCGTGTTCAGGGCTGCTTGTGACATGGAGAAAAAAATATGGGATTATGGTAAATACAACTGGAAGAGCAGATCCAGGCATTTAATTTGAGGAGTTTTAAAATGATGTTAATGAGGCCTTTTTGCTTGATTTTTTCCATTTTTCCTTCCAGTGATAGCCCAGATTTGCGATTGACACAATGAGGGAGCAGCTGTTTGCTTAAACAACCCAGGAAACTGCTAGAGAGGAATGGGAAACGGTGATCCACAGACCTCAAGCTCTGGAGAGGCAGGAACAGGCACCCTGACCTGCTCTGACTCACAAGGCTCCAGGCGATGGCCCCAGGGGAGGGTCCTGGGTAGTGGCCCCAGGAGGTGGCATTAGATGGTGGCTACGGGTAGTGGCCTCAAGTGATGGATCCCAGATGGTGACCCTCAGGGGGTGGCACCGGATGGTGACCCTGGGTGGCTGCCCCTGAT